CTGGAGCCTGCTTCAGATTCTGTGTCCCCTCTCTCTGCCCCTCTATTTCTCAGAAATAAAGAAACATTAAAAAAAACAAAACAAAACTGGGAATGAGTGCATTTTAAATGAATGTCAGAAAAACAAATTCACAAGACACATGCCACCCATTTGTAATAGGCCCACTGAAACATTCTGATACAGCATAGCCTCAGAGGATACCAAATGCCAAAATAATACACCCTTACAATTTGCAGAAAAATCACACACGCACATACACACACTTAGTGACACAGTGATAAGCATGAGAGTTCATCCCCATAAAACTCCTATCAGTCTGTAGCTTTCGTGCTAAGGAGATTACAGAGATCATAGAATTACTGTAGAGCATTAAGATAAACAGAGAGTCTTAGGGAAAACGGAAGGAAGTAGAATACAGACATGCTATTTTACTATCTTAGTATCGGCATTAATGTCTCCTCTAACACGGTGTAACAATATTTGGCTCCTGGGCAGTGGTTTTTTTAGTTAATACCATATTTATCAGGACTTCAGTTTCTTCTCACCTGATTAGCAGCACCCGCCTCACTGGAATCTAGGAAGGAGCTAATGTATACTGAAACCAAATTTGATGCCTAGAAAATCCTTGAGATGTTAAAAGGCACACCTGTGTTGGTTTGGCAGGGGAGTTGAATCTCAAGTAAAGAATTTCTGCAAATCTCCTGTTTAGTCAGCTAAACTGGTTTACCTCCTATTGAAAAACCCTGGGGTAGGGTGGGGGGGGAATCTCTGTTTTTCCTTAATAATCGTAATAATGCCAAAGAAATAACCCTAGTGCTAATCTCAGTGCTTTAGGTCTCAAAAGTGGACGGGCCCAGAATATATTTCAGGACATTAAATGTCTTCGTGTCAAATTTGTTAATTTATGGATAAATTATTAGTTTTCATATTGGAAAAAATGTAGGGGTTTTTTATAAAGACCAAATTATTGTTAATTAAGATGTTAATTTGAATAATTTAGAGTGGCTGGAGTCACTTTATATTCAAATTAAGGATAGATTGTTACAAATAATTAAATAAAAATTTCAGTTTACTGAATCCTTTTTTAAACTTTTTTTTTAATGTTTTATTTATTTCTAGGAGAGGGGGAGAGAGAGAGAGACAGCGTGAGCAGGGGAGGGTCAGAGAGAGAGGGAGTCACAGGCTGAAGCAGGCTCCAGGCTCCGAGCTGGCAGTCAGCACAGAGCCCGACGCGGGGCTTGAACCCACGAACCGCGAGATCATGACCTAAGCGAAAGTCGGACGCCTAACCGACTAAGCCACCCAGGCGCCCCTCAGTTTACTGAATCCTAAAGAAAATAAGGAAGCATTTATAGTGGAAAGGTACTTTGTAAATGGGTTTGCAGATGAACTGCAAAGGTTATCTGGGATTCTATAATCTTAAAGTGAGACAGGCCACTTATGCATGACTTCAAAAAAATCTCTATTCAGTCTGTTTTCATTTTCTGGACGTTCTTATGTTGGATTACGTTGTGTGTGCTACACTTAGGTTTCTTCTGACTAGACTGGTTTTGAAATGCTGAAGATATAAGACATTTTAAAGTAAATGCTTGATTCATTACATAATATTCTTTAGGTATGAAAGAGAAGTTAACATTTTCATTTTTGGGTTAGGCATTGGTGGGCTCTAAAATATAACTCTCTATAGCAATTATGCAGTATGCACCAGGGAAGAAAAAGAAAAGAGTTTAGGGCTGTCCAACCTCTTAGAACTGACAAAGGATAAAAGTAAAGGAAATTAATCAAGTCCACAGGCATGACGACCCTAGTCTCTTTCAGCTGTCAATGGAGCTAATAGTGCTGCCATTCGGATCTTAATTTATGGATTGCTTATGGTATTTTCAACCCCTTTGAAGTTGAAATTGTGTGCTACAATCTCCACAGTAAAAGAATATTTCTTTTTTCAAAATTTTCAACCAAGAGATTAATATTCTTTCTCTATAATGCACACCATCTGTTTTACTAAATTAACAGTTTATATGCATATATATGCATCTTGACCACTCAAAGCTGTGATTCCCAGCCTGGCTATGCATTACAAGCTTTGTAAACATCACTACCAGAGCTACCCCCAGAGATTCTGGCTCAAATGGTCTGGTGGAGTATCAGAGAAAGTCTTTCTCAGAGTTCCAAGTTGGAATTCTGAATTTATTTCCTCTGGAAATGATGTTGCAATGGTGGTCTGGGTTTATAGATTTTTTTAAGTACGATAAGTAAAGCCACATAATCTGTTAAATAAACATCTGGGGTCTGGTCTAAAGCAACAAACCATTCTTCACAGCTTTTTCTTTAAAACAAAAAGGAGCTTTGGGTTCCAAGAAATGAAATTTATAACCAATCTATTATAAAACCTGTGATAAATTAGGAACTGCTTGAGTCTTCAGAGACACATTACCATACTTCTTTGTCTGTCAAAAGTGGCTCAGGGTTTTGTCTTAAAGACAAAAGAAGAAGGAATCAATAATTTTAGTGAGTACCTACCATGAAGAAGACACAAAGAGACTAACAAAACCAGAAATAAAGTACAAAACAATAATTTGTGCAATTTTCAGTTTCAGGAATTCAGGAAAAACACAATGACTTTTTGTGTTTTCTGACGAGTAAACTGGGTTACAAACAGGCAGATCATTCAGAAGGGGACACGACATAGAAAGATTAGTGGAAATATGCTGGAGGACAAGAAACCAGGTAATAAAAGCACTTGAAAAAGGCAAATCATGCAAAAGAATGGAGGACTGTTTGTAGTCAACAGTCCAAGGTGATCGATCGATTTGAATGGTAGTAAAGATGAGAAGGATGAGGTCAGCTAGGTGCTTCCCAAACTGGTTCTTAGCTTGACACACCACGGCAAGTTGGGACCAAGCGCAGTAGAGAAGTGGAACCATCCTACATCCTACCCATCTGCAAACCATCCTTACCCATATTCTCATTCATACAAGCCACGAGATGACCACGCACACGCAACCACAGCTCCTGAGGCTGCTACGTGGCTCAAGGGTAGGACTTATCCTGTGCTGATTATGGCATTTGGGTGGAAGAAAAAGAGCCAGATTTGAGTTCATTGTAGAGAAAGACTTTCTAAAAGGCTGTCGATACAATGCAAAACAAACCCAGAATACATGCCCTGAACCCTACGGCCCTGAAGGTTGGAGCATGAACTGAATATTATCATAAGAAATAGAATAACTGGGGGACACGTGGGGGGCCCAGTCGGTTAAGCGTCCAACTTCGGCTCAGGTCATGATCTCACCGCTCCTGGGTTCGAGCCCCGCGTCGGGCTCTATGCTGACAGCTCAGAGCCTGGAGCCTGCTTTGGATCCTGTGTCTCCCTCTCTCTCTGCTCCTCCCTCGCTCATGCTCTGTCTCTCTCCCTCTCTCAAAAATGAATAAACTTCAAAAAATTAAAAAACAAAGAAAATCAGATTAATTGGGCTGAGTGTGGAGCATCCCCTAATGGTCTCCAATGGTTTTTCCAAATATAAGTCTTGATGATTTTATAGCCTATCCTTCTCTTTTCTCTACAGACATCTAATCACTTCTAATTTCATTGTTTGTTTTGGTTAAAGCCAAAAGTGACAAGGTTACACTTATCATGATAAGCACTAAGGAATCCATAGGATAGTTGAATCACTATATTATACACCTGAGATATATAACATATTAACATATATAACACTATATGTTAGTTATACTGGCATTAAAATTTTTAAAAAGAAACAATATGCATATATTTTTTTAAAAATGACAAAGAAGAATTGAGAAATTATTTACAATGAATGAAAGTGTGAAACAGGGCTCGCAACTAGCAACTAGCTTTACTATAGAGGACTGATTTATAGGTTATAGACTTGGTTAGTCTGGCAAGATGTGAATCCTGAAAGCTCATACCAAGAACTGCAATAACTTTAAATGGACAAATAATAGCCCCGTAATAAAGTCAGTGTCTGTGCTCCCTCATTTATGACCTCAAAAACTGAAAACACACGTTGATCTTTATGTTTCACTCTTGAGACAGCGATGAAGGAATGAATGAGCTTATTCTGCAATCACATGCAAAAGGTGAAAGTCCTAAAAAAAAAAAAAGCAAAACACAGCCGTTTCCACTATGCCAGAACCATCCATTGATAGACCAGACTCCCAGAACTGGGAGCTGGAAAGGACATACATGAAACAAGTCTTCAATGCTTAAACGCATGCCCTCTGTGCAGTGCATTAGCACAAGCTGGCCAGCTATGCGGCTGGAACATTCAAGATCGAAATCGCACCGACGGCCTCCATGGAGCCTGTGCCTTCGTATGCAGTTGTCTTGAATTTAGGCCTGGGCCACACACCTTGGTACAGTGACCTTCCGCATATCACGGAGCCAAGAAGAGCTGCAGGATTTTAGGGCAAGGCCGATTTCAAGCCCAGAACTGCAATCACCCCTCCGTGACAGGCTGAACAGTCTTGCCAACGAGCGTAGCACGAAAACCTTTTGGGTTCGGCAAGCCGAGGGCTTCGGCGTGACCAGGCCGTGTCCTTTCAGGCCTCACAAAAGGCTTTTTCTGCCCTGCCTTTACAAGGTACTCTAGAAGCCAGGCTGTTTGCCACGGGGTAGGGCTGGGGAGGGCGGAGGGGAAGGGGTGGGGGTGGGACGCCACGGATCGGCCACATCCGGCTGCCAGGCTGTCCAACAGGATAGTCGCTCTCCGCGGTCCCGGCCCCGAGATGCGGGGGCGGGGGGCTCGGGGGGCTCGGGGGGCTCGGGCCAAGTTCCTCGGGACCGCGGGCGCCAGGCCAGCCGGCCGCAGAGCACCCGAGCAGCGGCCGCAGGAGCGCCCCGGGAGCCCTCCCCGCCCCCCCTGCCCCCGAGGGTGCGTCCGGTCCGGGGCCCGCGCGCGCCCCCTAGCGCCCGTCCGCGGGAGGGGCGGGGCCGGGCGCGCCGGGGGCGGAGCCGCGGGGCCGCGCGCGCGGGGGTCGCGGCGCCGAGTGGGAGCGCCAGCGCGAGCGCCAGCGCGGCTGCAGCGGGCGGCATGGCGAACACGGCCTCGGAGATCATCGCCTTCATGGTTTCCATCTCGGGCTGGGTGCTGGTGTCGTCCACGCTGCCCACCGACTACTGGAAGGTGTCCACCATCGACGGCACGGTCATCACCACCGCCACCTATTGGGCCAACCTGTGGAAGACGTGCGTGACCGACTCCACGGGCGTCTCCAACTGCAAGGACTTCCCCTCCATGCTGGCGCTGGACGGTCTGCATCCCCTCGGCCCCCGCGTCCCGGCCCGCGCTCCTGCCCCGCCAGGCAGCCGGCCGCCCTCCTGGCCCCGCGACCCCGGGCAGCACCCCCCGGGCCGGACCCCTCCGCGGCCGAGCCCCGTTTTCGCCCCTAGAGCCCGAGGGAGCCGCGGAGAGCCCGGGCGCCCTGCTCGGACGCGTGCCCCGCGGGGGCGCCTGTCCCTGCACCCCGGGACCGGAGAGGGGGACACGCACACAGACCTGGGGGAGGGGGCGACTCAGGCGTTGGGAGTGGAGGGCGCACCTTTGCAAGCCTGAGAGTCGAGGGCACGGTTGTGGGACCCCCATCTCTGGGGGGGGGAGGCTGTTAGGATACGGAGCGACCCTTGGCTCCTTCGCCCAGCACTCCCCGAAAGAGCTGGATCCGGGTTAAAATGGTATCGACTTGTCCAAGCCCATCCTGCCTGTCCCGAACTCCCATTAACCGTTTGGTTAGGTCTTTTAAAAGTAGGTAAGAGAGAAAGTAACAGATTGCAGGCAGCGTCGTTCCCACCCCCTCGCGCAAGAAGAAAACAACCCCGCGCGTCGACAAACGCGTCTGCTTGGGCTTTAATGCTTCCTCCAAATTTTAGCGAAGTAACTAGCCGTTGCCTGTGCCGCGGTGGGTGGAGAATCCTGGCTAGCAAGGACCTCGCGCCGGAGCCTGGCAAGCCCTGGGTCCGTGCCTCCCGCGTCCGCTCCCCGGGTCACTCACCTGCTGTTGTCTTGTAGAGCGTTTCCTACCTTGTTCTGGCTAGTTGGGCTCCATGCGGTGTTGAATTGGAGCAGCAGGTGCATGTTCCAGAAAACTGGCTCAGCTTTAGTTTCAAGAGAGCAGTAGATGTCAACCCCGGTACAATGATTGCTCAAGTTCTAGGCTGACTTCTTCCAGGATTTGATAGCACAGGACTAGATAGAGCCCAGCAGAAAGTTAAAGGTAGTCATTTGAATTATCTCTAGGTCTGAGGTGTTTCCTTTCTTTTTTAACTTAAAAAAAAATCACTGCAGGCTTTTATTTGCATAGCTGATTCAATAAAAGGCAAGACTTAATTCCCCTACGATGGTGCTTGCCACGGAAAGCAAACTGTTGTTCAGGGTGGTGGTGTTTGATGGAGCCTCCATATACCGGGAATATGCGCCTGGTTTGAGGTGCATGACACCCAGGTCTTCGTCCTGGTGTGTAAAATAAGTAGCTGGGTCACTATTGATCCCCTAGAATTACCATTGAGTTGCCTGTGCCCTGTAGAGCACACATTCAGGTAGGTGCTTTGAACAGGCAGCCTCTTGTTTCTGTGGTTTACATTGAGGAATTTGGGATTGATGGTTATTGTCCAGAGTGCACTGTTGTACTGTAACAGTATTGTCACCCGAGCCACATGCCGGATAGGTCAGCTCCCTTCTGTAGGACAGTTGGGGGACGACAGGGAGGTGAGGAGTAAACGCTCCATGAAGCGCGTTGGGTGCAGAATGGTGCAGTTTTCACATTGTGTCTCTGCGGTGAGAGTGGAGTTGGCATGGCATGGAGTTGGGATGGCGACTTGGGGGCAGGTGGGATTGTGACAAGGAAGGAGGGCAGAGCCCTCCGTCATGAGGCTTTGGAGGGAGTTGAGGAGGGAGAAAGATCGCAAGATGGCCTTTGGAGGGTGCTTGGGTGTCTAGAAACTGACTTTAAAAAACACAAATGACTTCATACTCCCTTTTGTTGTGCAGTGTTCTAAAACTTACAGTATCTTTTTCCAAGTCCTACATAGAGAGGTCACTCTAACAGGTGCATGGTGTACGTAAGTCTGGATAGACTGGTGTCTGTAACCACTTTCTCACTGTTGGGCGATGGACCCTTTCCAGCTTTTTGTTGTTGTGCATGCGATCCTGAAAATCTTTGTATTCATCTCTGTGTGCACAGCTATATTTCTGTGATGGGGATGCTGAGAAATGGCACTGTCAGATTGTACATTTTAGTGGTCGGTTCATACCTCCGAATTACATTCCACCAGCAACGAACGAGAATGCCCGTTTCTGCACATTCTCACCACGAAGGTTTTCATCCAGTATTATGGGGGACTGTTATCATGTTATCATTTTGATTGGTATTTCCCTGGTTTTTACCAATGATTTTTACCATCGTGTATTAATTGACCTTTTTTCCTCTTTCTTTTTCCCCTATTCATATCTTATGCCCAGTCTGTTTTTTCCTTTTGATGTAAATGATTTGTTTTTTAAAACTCTGGGTGTCAAACCTCCTTGATTTTTTATATATGGTGCAGTCTCAGCCCATCGCTTATCTTTTAAACTTCTGGTGTCTTTTCTTACACAAAACTTTGAAATATGAACCATAATCAAATTTGTCAGTCTCTTCCTGCTGCCTCTGCTTTCTGTAGCTTACGAAGGCATTGCCTATCGGAAAGTGATAAATCTTACTCCTCTCTGTCTCCCAGAATAACATGTTGGGGGGTTTAATCACACTGCTATGTTTTCACATAGGGAGGAGTTGATTCCTCCTCCTACAAGGTGACCTTCCCAGAGCAGGCCTCTCTGCTTGTAAGCTATCTGCTGTGTGCCTGGGCAGCCGCCTCTGCTGGCTGCTGGTTCTGAGGCACGTCCCGCCGACCTCACGCTGCACACTGAGCCTCCTGACACTGCCCTGAAGGCTGGAGAAGGCTGCGTTACTGTAAGGCTGTTGTGACCACAGGCCTGAGCAAGCCAATCGTCCCCTTACACCAGGAAGAAGCTCTAGGCCGAAAAGAAAATCCATGAAGGAGGGGAGAAGGCTCTCTCATCTAGCCTTAGGTGGAGAAGGAGCTTCTTGGGTGCAGATGATGGAGACATTATTCCGAATTTTCTATATGAGGTCAAAGCTCTGATTCCTCATCCTCGGGGCGGGGGAGGGTATCATTGCAACCCCAGGTTTCCCTGTAAGGAAAATGAGGCCAAGAAAAGCTAAACGTGTAGATTTAATTTTATGTTAAGACCCCAACTCCAAAGTCCTGCTTAGAATCGATCTTAGTATGATGGAAGGGAAGCTTTGATGAGTTGCTGACCAATCACCAGGCACTCTGCTCATATTATTCATCCTGTGAAGTAAGTGCTGATGTCCCTGTTTTACAGATGAGAAAACTGAGGCTCAGAGAGATAAGGTAATGTAATCCGGGACACACAGCAGGTAAATGGAGGGACGAGAGCTGACATGGTATAGTCCATGCCTTCCTCTGATCCCACTCTTCTTTCAGAGGATTTGCAAATAGTACACAAAGCTCCTGGCGTAAGAAAAGCCCATTCTTTTTTTCTCCCTTCTATCCAGCAACAGGCACGTGTGCTACTAGGGAATTGTCTCCACCAAGTGGATATTTTCATTTTTGCTAGTTTGAAATGGAAAAGGAGGTGCACATCATTTGGAAAACCCTCAACTTTTAAGGGACGCCTTGAAGGTTTCCTCCAACAGAATTTGTTAATTTAAACTCGCTGTATTTTACTAATTGGAACTTTCGCGGTTGAATGAGCTAGTGATTTCTGTTTATCACCAGCTTTATTCCTTTCAAAGCACCACTTGAACTTCAGCTGAGAATGATTTTCAGCCAGGTCGTTTTTTAGCATATGCCATCTATTTTTGTTAATGGAAATGTATGCCGTTTCTTCCAAGAGAGTTAACTATAAATTATACTTCAGAGAACTTCTGAGTAAATATATTCATGCCTCAGCACTTTAATGTGTTAATTAGCTATTAAAGGTGTCAGTAAATTCAACCTGTCAAAAATAATGGCCTCCTTGACTAGGTTTTTACTACCACTTCAGTTGATGGTGTTACTTAGAAGTTTTGCCCTCTGGAACTGTTAAAAGCAAGGTTGTAGAGGTCTGCCTTGCAAAAGATAAACTCTGAGTTTGTTGGAAGTCACCTAAGGCCTGAGTCTGTGGATATTTTAAGGACTGATAGCCCCTAGTTTACACAGCCAGGCTTATCAACACCTGGGTTCCGTTTAGAGCTGGCCTTGGAGGGGGTGCGGTTTATCCTGAGGAACCCCAGTCCCTGCTCTGTGTTCCCTGTTTCGGAAAATCTAACCAGCGGTTGTGTGTGCAGTGAGTTAGCGAGTTACTGCTACTGCTTCAGGCCGGAGAGAGATACCTTTCCCTCCAAGTCAGGGTTCTGATTGGCTCTCGAGAAGGACCCGACCACATCAGAAACGGTATTTCTCCTCTCCTATTTGTGCCACGAGACCAGTCCTGCTGCGGGCACGGGGGCTGAGACGCGAGAACAGAGTGAAAACCTCAGAAAAGAATATTATGAGTAATGGTTGAATAAAGTTTAAAGACTACTGTTATTTCCACATTAAGTCATTTTTTTTTTTTTACTGTTTTTATTTATTCCTGAGAGAGAGAGACAGCGTGAGCAGGGGAGGGTCAGAGAGAGAGGGAGACACAGAATCCAAAACAGGCTCCAGGCTCTGAGCTGGCTGTCAGCACAGAGCCTGATGCGGGGCTTGAACCCACGAACCTGAGATCATGACCTGAGCCAAAGTCGGATGCCTTACCAACTGAGCCATCCAGGCACCCCTCCACATTAAGTCATATTAAGGATTACATGCACCGGTCTGAGGTTCCTACCACTGTTTTCATCTGGGAAAACGCAATAGTGTTCTAAATGATCAGATTAACCATTTGGCAGGCTCCTGCATTTTCTATACATAAAACCTATATGATTCCTAAAGTAAATGATAAATTGTCTAGGCTAATTTTTTTTTTCTTTTTTACAAGACCAGTGCTCTAACCCCTGAGTTATGGAGCCACCCTTAGGCTAATCTTTTAAACATACATTATAGAGGCTATGTCTGTACCCACGCTGTTTTGTTTAGTGATGGAGGTGAGAATCCACTAACATACCTCAAAATGGTAGATTAATAGAAGTCTCAGGAGGGAATGAAACCACACTGTCCCAGTAGCCCTGGTGGTAGATGAGGAGCCAGTTGTGGCTGTCTTGGTGGATGGTCTCTAATCTTACAGGGAACTAACAGCCATCCTCTCTGTGCTTCCACCTGCTCCCTGGCTTCTGGCAAGGGGACCGAGAGTTGAAATTTTTTAAAAATCTGGGTCAGTATTTGGCAGCAGAGACCCAGATAGCCCTGCAGTATGATTATTGCCATCGAAATGAGCCTCCATTTTCCTGTTGTGCTAAAAATAAATCTGTTTTGCTGGTTTTGACAGCCTCACCTCCAGTGGAATTCCTTTCTACCTGGAGGTAGCTCACACTGTAAACTAGAAGTTCACGGTCATTGCAGTCTGCATTGGTGAAGGCCTAATTTTGTTGTAAACAGAGCATCTTTGCACTCTTCACAATGGATCCTGGCAATAGGATTAACACTTAGAATTTCGTTCTTTCCCCAAGGAACGTGGGCTGGAGGCTACGTGCCAGGATTATGTCTTGAATTTATAATTACCATGGTCTTAGAATTATTATTTTTTGTAGGCTTTGCCTGAACACTAACAATAAGTGACTTGCTGTATTTGTTTTTTTTTCAAATTGAAAAATTAATTCCACATGTAAACCTGATGCACATGCCTGTTCACTTGCTCAACAAACACTTACTTCCACCTAGTATATGCCATCGCTATTTCAGATTGACATATGGCACTGTCTCCAGCTGAAAGGAAAAGGACTTTCTGTGCTAGAAGTTTATTGGTTTAAATTCTATTAATTTAAAATTTGTTAGTGTCTGGACAAATGCCACATTGACGTTTACCCTACCCTGGCTGTGCAAATAAGAATAGGTAATTAAGAAAACGGGTCGTGGGGCACCTGGGTGGCTCAGTCAGTGAAGCGTCCGACTTCAGCTCAGGTCATGATCTCATGGTTCATGAGATCAAGCCCCGCATGGGGCTCTGTGCTGACAGCTCAGAGCCTGGAGCCTGTTTCAGAATTTGTGTCTCCCTCTCTCTCTGCTCCTCCCTCCTTCAAGCTCTGTCTCTCAAAAATAAATCAACATTAAGAAAAAATAAATAAAAGGTCCAATGTGCAAAGGAGTAGGAGGGTTGAGATGGTGGTGGATGATATTTCTTACAGAGAAGGGCAGCGTCATCTGGATTTTAGTCAGAAGTGGATGGAATGCGTTTCAGCGTCTTACTAACTCATCTCTGGCATAACCTATAACCTTTGGTGCCTCAGTGTCTTCCTCTGTGAACGTGGGAATCTATCTCGGGATCTATCCCGAGGCTTATGCATAGGCCAATCCTAAAAGTGTGTGATGTACAACGGGCACTTCACGTAGATTAACTTGCTTTCCCTTCTGGCTTCTCTTACAAGGCACTTTAACCACTATGGTTATTTTTTTCGGAGAACAGAACCCTCATTCAGAAGGATGGTACAAAATGAGGAGGATTTCTCCCTCGAAAGCCACGTGTTTTATGCTAACGTAGATGACGTCTAATTGCAGGTTATATCCAGGCATGTAGAGGACTTATGATTGCCGCTGTCAGTCTGGGCTTTTTTGGTTCCATATTTGCCCTGTTTGGAATGAAGTGTACCAAAGTCGGAGGCTCAGATAAAGCCAAAGCTAAAATTGCTTGTTTGGCTGGGATTGTATTCATACTGTCAGGTAAATAGTAACTTTCTCCCAAACGAGGTACTTCGTGATGTTAATGAAATGACACTAACCATGGGACTTTCCTTCTGATACTCCGTAGGGTTGTGCTCAATGACCGGTTGTTCCCTCTACGCAAACAAAATCACAACGGAATTCTTTGATCCTCTCTACGTTGAGCAGAAGTAAGTACTCTTCTCAGTCTGTATGTTTCTAGCTTCTAGGAAGTGTATGTGAATGACTCTTCTAAATTGAGATACACAGATTCCTTACATGGCTCATGAAAGTGAGACACGCTGATAAATATTATTTGATGACATCATTTCAAGAGGAAACCTATCATGTGCTACATTGGCAAAGGATGCATTTAATTACTGCACTGGTGTTACAGAGCGTCTTGTCTAAAAAGCTCAAGGCGTAGGATTTAAAATTCTGAACATCATCCACTGTACATCATTAAATTGTACGTCATTAAATTGGGGTTAAGTAGAGGACAAGTGGAAGAGAGGCGTAAGGTGGAGAGAAGGCTGATGATGTGAGACTGCAAAAGTTTAAGGGCTTGATTTGATCGTTGTTCACCCAGATTGGTATTTGCTGGGTGCTGGTGTCCGAGCTGCTTTGCATCCCGGCTTGACACCGTGACGTGGAAACATGCTCCTGAAGATTAACATTTGTTAATGACATTTAAATGAAGTATCCTCTTCTAGTTTTTAAAAAACACTTATTCATCCATTTAGAGAGAGAGAGAGAGAGAGAACAAGTGGGAGAGGCACAGAGAGGGAGGGAGAGAGAGAGTATCCCAGGACAGCCCTGTGCTGGTGCGGGGCTCAATCTCACAAACCACGAGATCATGACCTGAGCCGAAATCAAGTCAGATGCCTAACCGACTGAGCCACCCAGGCGCCCCTCGTTCTTTCATTTTTCATTAGTCTTTTACATTAGCTCCTTAACGAGCTCCACCTAATAAAGCTTTATAAAGAAGCTGTACATTATGCAGGGTTTTTAAAAAATGCTCTCGGGGAGTGCCTGGGTGGCTCAGTCAGTTGGGCGTCTGACTTTGGCTCAGGTCATGATCTCATGGTTCGTGGGTTCGAGCCCTGCGTCGGACTCTGTGCTGTTAGCTCAGAGCCTGTTTTGGATTCTGTGTCTCCCTCTCTCTCTGCCCCTCCCCTCTCATGCTCTGTCTCTCTCTGTCTCAAAAATAAACAAACATTAAAAAAAAAAAAATGCTCTCAGAGTGCCACAGACAGCACCCAGGTGTGAATGGTCCGGGTTGCAGGTGAATGCTCTGGCATTTACAGATCAGTTCGTTGGTGGGGGGGGCGGAGGGGGGGTTAACTACGGGCTATTGTTTTTTTGTTTTTTGTTTTTTGTTTTTTTTAGTTTCCCTAGGCTTATTTCTTTGCCTTGGTAAAGCCCCGGGGATACCAATTTAGAAATAATAATATATGCAATATGCAATATTGTGTCTCCCATGGGAATATAGCCACATACCTCTGTAGAAAGCCACGTCGGTATGAACATGTATAGTTAACAACCGGTCTGGTGATTCTCTTTCAGTCTTCAGATCAAATGTGATAGGAATTTAAAACATGGTTGCTAAAACAGCTGGTCAGGTGTGCATTATTACTTTTTTTCTGGTGGATTTCAGAATCTTCAGGGAATTGGTTTTTTAGTTCTGTCTTTGGTGTCTTTTATTCATAAATAATACATGCGTATATAAACAAAATAGCAGCTAGCAAATGTGGAGCCCCTTCCAGTTACCAAGCAGAGCATTAAAAATATTCTTCTGTTCTATCATTTTATTTTATTCTTGCAACAGCCTTACCAAGTAGGTTCTCTTGGTACAGCCTTTTTTTTTTTTTTTTAATGAGGAAAGAGGTCAATTGATGTGTGCAAGGGAACGAAAACTAACCTGGGTACTGTCTGACTGGCGTCACACCAGGCATCCTTGCTCTAAGACCCATGAGTTATAATACTCTAGTTCATGGTTTTTGTGACAGTATGCTATATATATTTTTCATCTCCTGTGATGATGAAAAATATATTTTTGGGAACTTCTTTTGAGTGTTTTTAAAAACTATTTTAACTCTTATTAAATAGGGGAAAAATGGCAGTTTGAGATACCAGTGTAAATTTTACTCCCCTACTTATGTTGGGGAAATGTGTTCTGATTTTTAAATTTTTAAGCCTCCAACTTCGGCTCAGGTCATGATCTCACTGTCTGTGAGTTCAAGCCCCGCGTTGGGCTCTGTGCTGACAGCTCAGAGCCTGGAGCCTACTTCAGATTCTGCATCTCCTTCTTTCTCTGTCCCTCCCAGAGACTCTGTCTTTGTCTCTCTCTCTCTCTCTCTCTCTCTCTCAAAAATAAATAAAAATTTAAAAAAAGTAAAAAGAAACATGTTAATGATATTTAAAGGAACTACTAATTTTCATTAAAGGATACATTTTTATTCCAGGCTTTGGTATCTGAAATCTACAACGAAACTGTGTTTCTCATGGTTTATTTTATCAAAGACATTGCTTCCTCTTCTGGATTATCTTTTCCACATTGCTGTCTTCATTTTCCCGACAATTATTAAGGATGTCTTTGTCAGAATCTTAAAAATCATTTTCATCATCCCTCAGAAGGTCAAGCAAAGGCTACTTCATAGATGCCTGGTGACTTGAGCCTGCCCTTTGTGTGACTTTTCTTCTGTCTTTGCTGTGTGTTCAGTCCCCTAAACTCAGTTTGGTGCTGCCGGCATTTCTAATTTTGTTTCAGATTTTGGTTAAACTCAGTTCAGTAAATATGGACTTGGAGGGGTTTTCTTCCTGCCCCCCATGTCCTGTCCACACTCTCTTCTCCTCTGCCTGCTCTGTTTCTTCATATTCTCCTCCTGAAATCAGGCTAAGAAGAGAACTTCCTTCTAGAGTTAGTGTGGGAATTAAGAGAGTGTGTCTATAGATGCTTAGAACTGATTAGAAAAGAGGAACTCGATTACTGCATTGTATTAGCTGTTAAGATTGATTTTTATTTGTATGTAGTATTTAAGGCATAGTTTATATTTATAGATAAACTATCTTCATAGTTTGGAGGTCAAGCCCCATGACAGGCTTTGTGTCATCAGTGTGGAGCCCGATGTGGCACTCCACCGGACGACTGTGAGATCACAACCTGAGCTCAAATCAAGGATCAGTTGCTTAACTGACTGAGCGGCCCGGGCGCCACACCCTTTTATCGATACCTTCCAGTAGAGGAGAGAGAAATAAAAATTAGAAAAGATTAATAATAAACTAATTTCATAGGTCTTAGAATTTTTAAAGTGAGATTTTGATTTTTCTTTTTTTAATGTTTATTTTTGAGAGACAAAAAGACAGACTGTGAGCGGGGGAGGGGCAGAGAGAGAAGGAGACACGGAATCTGAAGCAAGCTCCAGCCGGGGCTTGAACTCAGAAATCAAAAGATCATGACCTGAGCCAAGTTAAGTCGGACACTTAACGGACTGAGCCACCCAGGCAGCAAAAAGTGAGAGTTTGATTTGGCGTATTCTAGGGGCTTGCATTCCCTCAGCTGGTGTTTGCTAGAATTCAGCCATCGGTCTTTGACTTAGTTGGTGCCTGAACTGAGGAATGCTTTGGAGAATCAGGGCTAAAGGCAGGGCAGCGGTTCTACAGCAGGAAGGTTTGGACTTTCTTTGGTGTCTTTGTTCACCTGCGTGAGAGTGAATTCCTTGAGCTAAGTTAGAAACTTGCCTAAGTTAGAAACACATGACTAAGCTCATCAACAAGGTTTCTACTATGTGCAAGGAACTCAGTAGCAATTTTATGGTGAGAAAAGATGAGTGGCTTCCTGTGCAGCTGGAGTAAAGCTCAGAGGCTATAGCACTGAAAACAGTATCATGCTCTATGCTCCTGGCTCTGAAACCCTTCATCTCCCTCCACATGGCTGGGAATCTCTTTCTCCCAGGCTATAGTCATTGGGTACAATTGGAGTTCCTTGTATTTTAGAGAGAGACAGACAGAGCATGAGCATGAGCAGATGGGAAGAGCAGAGAGAGAGGGAGACACAGAATCCGAAGCAGGCTCCGGGCTCTGAGCTGTCCGCACAGAGCCCAAATGCTGGGCTTGAACTCACAAACTTTGAGATCATGACCTGAGCCAAAGTCGGATGGTGGCTTAACAGACTGAGCCACCCAGGTGCCCCCATAATTGCAGTTCTTTAAAGAGTTACGTCTGACTGCGGTCATGTTCTGCCAAACACCCCCCTCCTTTCTTTTTTTTTTTTTTTTTTTTGCTGTTGTTTCATTTCTCTTGCTTTCATTCAAGTTGTAATTATGTTTCATGACTTTAGGATGGGCTCCTGCAAAGTCTTGAAAAAGATTTCCCAACTCTCCTCTTTGGGCTGTTTCAAACCAACTTCCTCCTTTTTATTAAAACAAAACCTACCAAATCCAAAAAAGTCTACCTTTCTTCAAGTTTATGGTAACAGGCAGCCCTACGCTGATCCACCCTCCAGGGGGTTGAGATTTAATTCAGGTTTTATTCCCACAACCACTTTGTTGTGCAAATGACATAACTTCCTAAATGTCTTGATTTGTTTTCTTAAATAAACTGTTCCAAGTAAGAATTTATTGACACAAAGAAACTTCTTTTCAAACCCATGCACGGTTGGAGCATTGAACCAAATACCCTAATTGAGGAAATGGGATGTTGTAACCTTAGATTTATTCTCTTTCAGTGTATGAAATTTTATCATTAGGATTTTGGCTCCAATATTCTAACGCTTGGGTCTTATCCTTCAGGCTTTTCTATTTTCAGAGTGTTGAAAACCATGGACTTATTTATCTCTAGCCCTCATTCCTGGCATATATTTAGTTTCTACTTTAGGATTTAAGCTTTACTTGGGAAAACTGTTCACCACTGTGGCTATTTAGTAGTTAGAAACAAACAGCCGTCTACTCTGTGATAAACTCTCATTCTTGCTATCTGTCCAGTTAAATGAACAGTAGATAATTCAAGAAGTACCTTTCTAGATGACACATTTTCCTGGGCGAAGTTCAGAGGAATATCGATCTCACTGCGTGACCTTGCCAGCATCTTTGGCTTCTCTCTTCTGTGCTTATTATAATGTAATGAATTATGGATGTCTGTTTATTTAAGCTTACTCCACTCGTGGGATTATTCAGAGAATGAATTAATGTTG